CAGGCTAGCACTAACGTTGCATGTCAGAAGAAATAGAGAAAAAGGAGCAAAAGCAGCATTAAAGAAAACAGTGCAGAGGGACATGATGGTCGAAGGCACCTGCACTGTGGGCATCCAGTGAGCCCACACCCTACTGTGAAAACACCTCTGGGCAGAAGTGGCAGAGCCCTTGCACAGAGGACCACAGTGGGCCTTGGACAGTGGCAATCAGTCCATAGCGAGAGCCAGTGGTCTGCAGGAGTCCTCATGGTCTACAGGCTGTCCTGGTCCTAACTTTCAGCTCCTATATGCATGGTTTGTTTGCTTTCTCATCCTGAGATGGATTCTCACTGTACAAACTAGCCTAGCCTTGAACCTGTGACTCTCCTACTTAGCTACAGCTATTGGGATTCCAGGTGAGGGCCACCACACTAGGCTTCTCTAAGCACATCACCCAGTTTCTTTAAATGCAGGAACAGCTTGCCTCTGGCCCAGAAGGGTATATTGATGTGGGATTCCCCTCTGTAGGCTATGAATATGTTTTATTACCACTGGTTAATAAAGAAGCTGCTTTGGCCTATAGCAGGGCAGAATACAGCCAGGCTGGAAGACAGAGTAGGCAGGAAGACACCATGTAGCTGCTGAAGGAGAAAGACACCAGAACAGAACCTTACCGGGTAAGCCACAGCCTCGTGGCAATACACAGATTAATAGAAATGGGTTAATTTAAGATATAAGAGGTAGCTAGTAATGTGCAAACTCTCAGCCAAATAGAGTTGTAATTAATATAGAATTAATATAGTTTCTGTATGACTATTCGGATCTGAGCAGTCAGGAAATGAACAAGCGGGCTCCACCTACAGTATATAGGTGTGTAGGGGTGTGTGTGTGTGTGTGTGTGTGTAAAGGTTAAAGGCAGCGTTCATTCCCACACAAAGCTCACCCTTACTAAGGACAGAGCACGGAACCAGCATTCTCTTACCTTGTGAAAGAAGGCAGCACCTGTCAGCACCATGGACAGCTCACAGGAGTAGTTGGAGTTGTAGAGCCAGGATTGGTGAGGGATGTCCCACGCATGGTACCGGCCGGGGAAACCCACAATACGATCACGTGCCTCTCTCCACACCCTTGAAAACACACACACTTAAAATGAGTGCTTTTATCTGGATTGCTTTGACCCTTAGACTTTTGCATTTTTTCCTTTTATTTCCTTTTCCTTTCTCTTAAAAAAAAAAAAAGTCAGACAAGCAAATCAGGTAAATAAATAAAAAAAAAAAACAATGATTGTCATTAATAATCTGCACACAGGTGTCCCTCCAGTGTCTCGTGGGAAGGTCACATTGTAAGGCACTTCAGAAGGTGACAATCTGCTAAGAAGCGGGAGACAACCAATTCCTGTTTCTATAATTTCTTTAAAGGTTTGTTTGTAATGAACACGACACATTCACATGTAATGAACATGTTCCACAGAACACATATGTAATTTCTCTGCCCTGAGCTTCTCTGTTCTTCCTGCTCCAGACAGCACATGTGAGAAGCACTCAGATGCCACAGCAATCACTGTGAGGAGAACCCATTTCCTAAGCCGAGCAGGGCCCAGAGAGAAACTCACTGTGTAATGCTGTCCACTGACCATCAGATGGAGGCATCTGTAAATGCAAGAAAACTGAGAGAACTGGGTCCCACTTTGAGAATCTGAAAAAACGTGCAGTGTGCATGTTTGCATGCATGTGTTCATGTCTACATGTAGAGATCGGAGGACACCATGGTGGCATGGGTTCTCTACCTTTATGTGGGGTCCAGGATCAAACTCGGGCCCCTAGGCTTAGTGGGCAAGTGCCTCTACCTGATGAGCCATCTTGCTGCCCAGGAGAAACTTTTCTATCATTCCCAAATCTATAGCTAAGTCAAAACAAATACAATCAGTTCGCAGTCTCACTGGCTGAAACCGGAGCTGAAAGCACAAGTTCCAGGAGCCGGCAGCCGCTAAAGGCCTCAGAGACTACAGCTGCTGCAGCTGCCCGAGACCTCCTGAGCGGCTTCAGGGCATTTCAATCCCTGAAACAGTTTGAGAGTCACTGATCTAACAGACGATAACTCACAACTTCCACCACAAAACAGGGCCTTATAGATTTCCTCTTATAAACAACCAATTTTTTTTATTGCGGCAAAATACCATCTTAATCTTTTTGAAGGGTACATTATCTAGTAGCGTTAAAGACAGACAAGTTGGGTCACCGTCATAACATCTCCAGGATCTGCCAACCCTCCAGCACTGGAGGTCTAAGTTGATACTAGTCTTCCTTGGCCTAGCTCACATCATTCTTGCTGTCCATATGAATTGTACCTATAGTTGCCTCGTGAGCGGACCACACAATGGCTCTCTCCTCTGTTCCCACTTCTGACTGTTACAAGTGATTCTGCGTCCACTATAACAGCTCTGCACAAGGGAGGCCCCCAGAGAAGAGACAGGGTGTGCCTGGTACACACCCAACAGGGAAGCAATAACTAGAATATAAAGACCTCAAAATTAAACAACATAAATGGGCGAAGGAAATAAGTGGTTAATAAGTGCATGGAAAACTGTTCAGCACCCTTCATTACCAGAAAAAATGCAATCAAAATTACCTTGAGCTTTCGTGTTACCCAGTCAGAATAGCTGTTGTCAAGGAGACAAACAGAAACTCTAGTAAGGAGGTGTGGACACACAGGGCCCTGACACACACCGCAGGAGTCTAAGTTAATCCAGCCACTTAGAAAATCGGCACGGAGCCCCTCAGGGAGTTAAAGTACAACCTCTACTGAAAAGAATCCAAGTCAGCATCTTGCAGAGGTGTTTTTGGTAGCATTTCACAGTGGCCCGGGTGCCCATCCATTCTTAAGTCGATAAAGACAGTGTGGCACACAGACACAGGTACAAAGAGTGAAATCGTGTCATTTTTTAGGAACATGGACGGAGCTAAGTTCATGTGTGATATGGAATAAACTGGGCTCAGGAAGAAAAAATGTTTTCTATCATGTGCAGAAACGAAGGGGAAACGACATGAAATTAAAAGAAGCAAGCAGGGACAGAGGAAGAGATGGGTAAAGAGGATGCACATGCAAATTATATCCAATGGAGGCACAGAAATGTCACAATGAAGTCCCTAGCCTCGTACAACTGATATAAGCTAATAAAACCTAAACAAGGCATACTGTGTCTTCTGCTCTGTGTCTCCCTCTCCTGCCCACAGATGTCGGTGGGGATCTACCCCTGGAGACAGTCAGCTGTGCCAGTTCAGTTCTTGAAGGCTGGACCCCACATCCAAAATGACTAAAACGGATTCACTACTTCCTCACCACCCAGAAAAGGACAAAGAAGCCAGCACCCTCAGCACCTCTGTGAATTCAAACTCCTCAGAGCTGGGGCTCCTTTTCTCCGGCATTCTTGGGAGGGAAGCTAGGAGTATCTGAAGTTCTAACACCTCATGGCCACACCCACAGCTCCCAGCCCCTCAGTGGGCCTTAAGTGTGTCTTTCCACATCAAAAATACAGCCATTTCCCACCATCAACACCTGCAGTGGCAAAGACCATTCCTGAAGCTCTTCTAGGCTTTTCTCCTTGCGTAACAGGAAGAGCAACAGCTGATTACCATGGACACAGCCTCGTCAGCAGGATTTTCCTTTTCCAATCTCAGCTAGCCACAGACTTGCTTCAGTAATCCACCACGTTGGGGGCTGGGGGAGAGCTGACCTTTTGCCAGAAGTAAAGATGCTATTTCTGTGACCTATGGCTCAGTAGCAAAAAGAAGCCTAAGACCAGGAGGGTCAGGGGATGGAATGAAGACAGAGGAACTCCAAGGCAGTGGACTCCTGTACTTCTCAAAGTGAACTGCCTAAAATAAACTACTTTTTCCCAATTTATACAAACTAAAGTTGACAAAATACAATAAAAACAGTTTTGTAAATGCTACTAAAAACACAAAGTGAACACAGATAAATTAGAATTCATCAAAATTGAAAACTTTATGCTTGAAAGAATGCCACAAGGCGGTGCAAAGAGACGGGCTGAGCAGAGACTCTGGCGTGGAACATAATAGATACGCTTTGATCTAAAATAAAGAACTCTGGGCTGGAGAGATGGCTCAGAGGTTAAGAGCACTGACTGTTCTTCCAGAGGTCCTGAGTTCAAGTCCCAGCAACCACATGGTGGCTCACAACCATCTGTAATGAGATCTGGTGCCCTCTTCTGGCCTGTAGGCATACGTGGAGACTGAATACTGTGTACATAATAAATAAATAAATCTTAAAAAAAAAAAAAAGAACTCTAAGAAGGCAGCAATAGAGAGATAAATGATCTGCAGTGGCCATTTTTGGCTGTCAACTTGATTACATCTGGATTAACTAAAATCCAAAAATAGAGAGGCACACCTGTGAGGGGTTTTTGCTTAATTTGAAGCGGGAAGATCCACGTCTTATCTGAATCTTCCAGGCAGGAAGACACACCTTTAATCTGGATCTTTTCAACTGGGAAACCTCACCTCTAATCTGGACCACACCTTCTGCTAGAAACCTACACAGAGAGGTGGAAGAAGGAAGCTTTGCTCTCTGCCTGCTTGCTCTCTCCCTCTCCACCATAGCAAATCCATTCCTTCCCTGGCATCAGAGCCTACTTGTTTGGGACCCCAGTGTATTCTGAATTGTGACTGAACTACTGGATTCCTGGACCTTCTGTTGATGGCAGCCATTGTTGGGCTAGCTGGACCACAGCCTTTAAGTCATTCTAATAAATCCCCTTTCTCTACATATAGGAATTCATTCTATAGTTTAGGTTACTCTGGAGAACCCTAACACATAATCCAAACAAAAACAGGCCAAATATCTGATTCAACATTTCTCCACCAAAGGCATACAAATGGTCAACTAATTCATAACACGTGAAAAGATGCTCAACATCACAGTCGTTAGAGAAAGCAAATCAAAACTGTAAGGGGAACTGGGGAGATGGCTCAGTCCATAAAGTTGAAGCTGACTTCTGGCCTCCACATGTGTATATACATTGCACACACAAATCTATCTTGGACCACACCGCTTCACACCCACTTAGGATAGCTCTAAAATAAAAATCAGTGAGTGTATGCATTGACAAGGATAGCGGTAAAGTGCATGCTCACTAACCGCTGGCTGGAAAGTGCTGTGGCTACTTTGCAAAGCAGTTTAGCGGGACCTCAAAACATCCGCCCTCTGGCCCAGCCGCCCCACAGCTAGGTATGTGCCCAAGAGAAATGCTCCAGTCCAGACATGCATATGCACGGGCACAGCATACCACTGGGCTTCGCTAAGCAGTAAGGACCCAATGTCCATTAGTACAATTAAGAAAGACAGCATAGGCTGGTGGTATGCACCTTTAATCCCTGCAGTCAGAAGGCAGAGGCAGGCAGATCACTGAGTTCAGGACCAGCCAGATCTACATTGCAAGTTTCAGGCCAACCAGAGCTACACAGTAAAGGAACCCCTCCCCTTTTTTTAAAAGTTTTTGTTTTATGTGCATTGATTAGTGTTTTACCTGCATGTGAGTCTGTTTGGGAGTGTCAGATCCCCTGAAACTGGAGCAAAAGACAGTTGTAAGCTGCCATAGGGGTGCTAGGAATTGAACCCAGGACCTCTAGAAGAGCAGCCAATGGTCTTAACCATTGAGCCATCTCTCCAGCCATCCCGAGACCCTGTCTTTAAATAAACGAGGAAAGAACATAAGGCACCCATACAACAGGAGTGAAGCGCTGCTGCACGCTACGAGACAGACGGCCCTAGAAACACAAGGTAGAAAGGAGAAAGCCAGCCGCCAGCCACAGGAGGCCACTTATGCCCACAACAGGAAAATCTACCGAGATGTGACGTTTAGTGGGTGCCTAGGACTTAACAGGGCTGGAATATAAGCAGTGGCTGACGGATCCGGTTTCTTTTGGTGATAATGTTTTCTAAAATAGACTCTTGATGACCATATAAAAATGTACCCAGCTCAACACCTAGATGTATGAATGGAAGTATACATAAATTATGTCCAATAAATGCCACCAAATACTTGATTTCAAGCAAAATGTTCACTTGGGTGTTAGCACTAAGGCAAATCTAAAGCAGCACTCCAACTAATCCATAATTCACGTACGTGTGTAACTGACATTGTTCTCTGTGATGGAACAGGAATTAATAATTCATTTTCCGCAGTGACCCGGGTAACACAGTAAATGCCAACTTCCTGAAAAAGTTCTGAGTGCTCAGCGAGGTGTTTTCCTGACCTCACTGTGGAGGTTTCACACACGGACCTGAGCCCACACCAGTGACGACCCACTCAGAACCCCCAGCCCACTTCAGTCTGTTACAGGTAGTATGCCTCACTAGGCCACCTAAGCCCCCAGCGCACGGGCACAGTGAATCTGAGAGCGCAGCAGCACAGAAGAGAGAGCTAAACAGGCCTGCAACCCACCAGCTGGCTGCCACTTCCTATAGCTTTGCTCTCTGGTATCTCAGCTCACTGCTACAGACCATGTATACAAACTATAACTCCTACATCGGGCCCTAGGGTTGTGCTGGCTTACCTGTTTATTAATTTGATTAGACGCAGCCCTGGGCTGTGTCTGTGACTGCTCTGATCTTATAAGGGGACTCATCCCTTGGGATGGCTTTATTGGGAGATGGTGGAATCCCAGTTAGAAGGGCAAGCTTACTGGGGGCACGTCTCTGGGGGGACACCCTGTCCTGGTCCCTTCCCATCCTCAGCCATTTCTCTGCTTCCCGTCTGTCAGGACAGAGAGTCTCCTCTCCACCTCTGTCCTTGCCATGCTGGCCTGTCCATGTGCATGGAGCCAGGCACCCGTCGACAGGATGCTTCAAAGCCCGGTCAGATCAATCTTCCCCTGCGATGCTTCTATCAGGTTATTTTGTCATAGCAAAAATTAACTAATTCAAGGGGCATTAGTGAGAGAAGCCAAGTTCTCAGGTAGTCTCCAGCACACAGCATGGGCAATGTTGGTGACTAAGGTTAGTGTCACCACCGCTACGGCTACCACCTCCTTCTCCCACTCCTCTTTTCCTGTTGGACCCTTGTTCTCCACCCCACTTACATCTTGGGGGCTGGTATTCTGGCCCTGCCCCATTCCTCACCAAACGGTCCTTTCTTCCTCCTACCATCTAGGAGTTCCCACTCCTACAACACAAACCCAATTTCCCCACCTCTATTCTCAGCCACGGAGGCTGGGTTTAAGGATGAGAGACCCGCAGGTCCAGGAGAGGCAAGCAACCCTGGTCCAGCTAATTAGAAACTCCCATCTTCCTGGCCCGAGAGGAAGAGCCTACAGAGACTAGAGCAGCCCTGAAGAGGATAAGCAAGAATCAGCCAAACCACTTAGACCTGGGACCAAGCCCGTCCTACGATGCCCTGACAGCCTCATAAGAGTTTCTCCTCTCTGTCAGCTGTCAAGTTCAAATTGGTTTTTCTCTCACTTTCACACTGAAGTGTTTGAAAATCTGTCCCTCACCGAAACCCAAACATGATTTCATCGTGGCGGAGGTGAGCGTCATCGTCGATAGACAGTATGGCCTCTGTCTCAATCTCCTTCCAGGGCAAGAATCGATTGTTCAAACTGTTCTTCTCAGTACGGACGACCTGAAAATGAAGGCGGAAAACACAAGAAATCAGCGCTACATCAAAGAATTCTCAAAGTGACTTTAGTCCAGATCTTACCAATGACTGGCCTGGTGGCCTGCCACTTGCTTGTGACACCTAGCGTGTGCCTCTCAATGAAGCTGCCTCCCACTCAGGACACACAAGAGGGCCTCACACTAACCACCAGTCTTTCTCACAAAACAAACACTGAGGATTATCTATACAATGAACACAGTCTAGAAGATTAGGCATGTTTCCCACGAGAACACAAAGGGGCAGAGCACAGCTGGGTCCAGGTCCCAGCTCAGATCCACCCAACTGCTCACCAAGTTTAAAATGACACTTGGGGGGCTGGAGAGATGGCTCAGTGGTTTAGAGCACCATCTGCTCTTCCAGAGGTCCTGAGTTCAATTCCCAGCAACCACATGGTGGCTTACAACCATCTGTAATGAGATCTGGCGCCCTCCTCTGGCGTGTGGGCATACATGGAGGCAGAATGTTGTATACATAATAAATAAATAAATCAAAAAAAAATAAAATAAAATGACACTTGGAAATAGTTTTGAGTTTATCTCATTTCTGGCCATGCCCCTCCCACCACCACTCAATCTGAAAGGCTTTGGGGGACAAAGCTTTGGAGAAGAGTGTTTCTCAGTTCACTTTGTGCTGACATATACCGTCTACAGTGCTCACTATGCATACAGAAGCTTTTCCTTTCCTAGCAAGCTGCTTGTGCACAGGGCTGATCTGTTCTGATGATCACGGAGGTGTCTGTGCTGCGTCTTCCTAGGGAGCAACATTTTGGTACGAGGATAGAGAACAGATGTTTCAGGCAGGAGATTTAGCTGAGAACACGGGTAGGCAGACTTCTAGACCTGGGACACACTTGATACTTGGTGTCAGGAGGAGGTTATCCTCCGTGCAGGACAGATGGTGATGGAAGGGAGATGACCATTCCAGCTTTCTGGGCCCCTGTGAGATCCTCTCTGCTTTCTCAGGGTAAAGTGGTGCTTCCTCATTAGCTGGACGAATAGCTAAGGAACTTGAGGATTGAATAAGATGTCTCCATAGGTCTGCTTCCCAGTTGGTGGCTGTTTGAAAAGTTTAGGAGGTGTGCTTGGCTAGAGGCACGCGCTTTAAGTGTTTAGACTTAATGGGCATGGAGATGCACACCTTTAATCCCAACACTCAGGAGGCAGAGGCAGGTGGATCTCTGGGAGTTCAAGGCCAGCCTGGTCTACAAAGCAGGTTCCAGGACAGCCAAGACTGTCACACAGAAAAAACCCTGTCTTGAGAAAACGCACACATAAAAAGCTTAGACTTGGGTCATTTTTAGTTTATTCTCTGCTCCCTGCTGTGGACCAGTATGTATTTGCTCAGCTTCTTCCCAGACGCCATGCCTGCTCCTGTCTTGCTTCCCTGCCATGAGACAGAGTCTTGTCCCTCTGGAACCATAGGCCCAAATAAACCCTTCATTCTGTAGGCTGCTGTGGCCATGCCGCTTTATGACAGCGCTGTAAACAAGGGCGCTATCACAGCGCCAACTGTGGCATCTCTCGGACCATTACCTGAGGGGAGGGGCTAAGAGAGTTCTGCTCTGAGTGCACTGCTTGCACGTCTGCACGATTTTGGAGATGGTCTTGGAGCTGGACTTTCCCAGTCCCTTGCCTGCTAAACTGATGCTAACTTTGCAAATGTCTTCAAACCAAAGCCACCATGGAAAATTTATAATTATAAATTCCTGTTCTGTCACAGAAAATGGCATCAATTACAAATGTAGGTGAAGTTTCAAATTAGATGGAGTGCTGCTTTAGCCAGGCCACAGCTCCACAGATGCTCCAGCCCCATCAACAAAGAAGGATCGCAACTACCCTGCTCCAGATGTCAGAGCCCAGCAACAGACTCGGAAATCCGCCCTGCCCTGAGCATATTTAGCCAGTTAAAAACAAAAACACAAAAGCAGCCCTGGTTTGTAGTCTGGGGTCTCCTAAGCTCAGATTCAGTGGTAACAGAACAAAGAGGCCAAGTTCTGGGTCAGGAACCAGAATGGCCATTTAACAGGCAGAAATTATCAAACTGGGTTAAAGAAAGGCAAAAGAGACCAAACTACACAGAGAGGGAGAGAGAACACAACACATAAGGGTACCGCTTAGTGGTAAAAAAAAGACTCTCCTAGAGTGTGAGGTCCTGGATTGGATCCACACACACACAGCCAGGAGGGAAGCCACCAACGCCTTATATCTCAGCAGCCTTTGTTCCCCAGGGAGCAGGAAGATGGCCAGAAGTGGCAGGCGCCAAAGGCAAGTTTAGTAATCCCACCCAAGTTAAGATGCTCCCAGTTTCAGAGATGTTATTATCACGGAAGATCATGTGACCCCTGAGAGGATGGAACAGGTAACCGCTCACCCAAACTGCCCCATCATTCACTCCTTTCCTAACACCCCCTGCACCCGCTCACAGTGCTGAAGTTCAGTCAGTCCTGCAGAGCACAGCCCCTCATGCCCAGAAGTCATACACAGAAGTTCCATCCCTCAAGCTTCTCCTGAAGACTATCGGTTCTGTGAATTGATTTCCAGCAGGATTACCTACAGTGTCCGAGCACTTGGTATGACTCAAAGCAAGGAGAGTCAATGCCAGGACTATTGGAACTAGGGCCTCCAAGTCACCAGGCTGCATTTCCCAAAGAGCCCCAGGAGATGGCTCTGCACGGGCATAAGGAAAGCAGCAGGGCTGTGGAGCCTATCTAAGCAGAGGAGCGATTCCACTCAACCTCTGACAGCGTGAGCCTGGTGACTGCTCGGTTGTCAGCAGAACCTGGAGTCAATCACCAGGCAAACAGACGCAGTCTGAGTCCATAAATGAGAACCGAGGAAAACTGAGGTGATGGGATGATCTGGGGCCCAGAGCATAGACAAAAGGATTCATTTGCAAACTGCAGTTCACAGGGGTTTCTTTGTTCTCCCTTCCCCGCCCTATCTAAGATAGTCTCTCTACTGTAGTCCTGGCTATCCTGGGTCTCACTATGTAGACTAGGCTGGCCTCAAAGCCACAGGAGCTCCACCCGCCTCACCTCCCAAATGCTGGGATCAAAGGTGTGTGCTACCACACCTAACTCCCCTCTTATTCTTTAAAAGACCTGAGCTGGGCAGACCACAAAGCTGAGAATCTAACAGCAAACAAGATCTGGCCCAGACTCACAAGCAGGTTTGTTTGCAAGTTCACTGAAGTCAGTCCCTGAGATGTCTGCCAAGAAGTGAAGAAGAGGGAAATTTCTGATTCAGAAGCTGAAGGGAGAGGTTTCACCTTTAACCCCAGCACACTGGAGGCGGGAGCGACAGGAACGTAAGTTCAAAGCTACATAGCAAGTCCCAGGCCAGCCTGGGCTGTGTGAGACCCTGCCTCAAAACAAAAACAGGTGCTGCCTTCAAAGCTATAGCACTCGATCACCAGACTGATGCTCAGCAACTACCCTCCTGACAGAAGGACCCAGCCATTCCTAAACCCATTGCACAAGACCAGCACTGGCCTCTCGGAGTCTGAGAAAAGCATAGCCAATGTAAGAGAAACGAGCCAACTAGAAGAACTTAGCAACATTCCCACTTCTGTTGTTTGGTTTCAAATTACAACAGGAATCCTCCACCCTGACCCCCAAAACTGGCAGTTTCTTCATGTTGTGCCAGGAAGGTAGATTGCAGACCTAGTGTTTGCACTTCGGCAACTCTAAAGTACTGCTTTAATTACGAGGCCGACACTGAGCAGAAGGAATAGCATGCAGTGTCCAGCACAGAAATGTCCGACATGTGTCATATAAACATGTGGATGAATGAAAGGGGAACACGGACAAGCCAGCCCCGCAGTTTCCAGAATATGGCAATAAACTTGTCAAATTTACAGATCGAAAACTCAACAATATAAATAATCCTAAAGAATGATAATGAGATGAATTAGGAGACCTCTTAGTATTCGTTCTGTTTTATTTCTCTCGCTATGTTTGTTCAGACAGGCTGGCCCTTAACTTACAGTCCTCCTGCCTCCACCGCTGGACTGCGGGGATTACTTGTAGGCGCCACCACATCTGACTTCTAATCTTGCTTTCCAGAGGAGGAAAAGAAATCTACTGACCTACATGGATCAAGTTGGACAACTCTCCGTACCATTTGCCTGGTTTCACAGAGCACACTCGGGGCAGCCGGCCACCTGCTGCCATCCTTCACAGTCTTGACTCTGTCACACCTTTCTTCTCAACACCGTGCAGGGCGCCAAGATGGCAGCACTAACCTACGGTACTCACCTTTACATCACTAAGATTACACTGGCTCAGCCCAGCCTGATGGCCTCAGCCTCTAAATGTCGCACGCACAGCGCATTTCTGTAGCTAACCTCACCTCAGGCCATCCCAGACGAGGGATGGGAAGAGCAGCTGCTTCCTCTAACTCAGAGCAAACCGCAGAGCTCAGGAATGAAGAGCAGGAAGCCTAGGAAGCTGCACCCACCATGTCTCTAACTTATGAGCGCCAACATCAAAGACCTTGAGGCCAAGGGGGCACTGGCTCGCTCACTCACTCACTGAACAAATGGGGGGAGCCAAAAGGAAGAAAAACAAGGGGGGAGCTAAGAGTAACAGCTGCTTTTCATTCATAACTAACTACGAGGCTCATGCAGCACAAAACAGCCCATGTGTTAACTCCTGAGACAAGTCTGTTTGAGTTTTTTAAAACAGTGCTGGCGAGCCCTGTGAAAGCACTAGTAAAACAGCACAAACTAGAGGGTGAGCCCCCAGGGAGACGAGGCACACAAAGACCACTGGTATGCACATCTGTCCCAGTGTGCAGAAGAGTGAGGTAGGAGCACAAACCCAGGACAGCCTGGTTACAAATGGCGAGCTCCAGCCCTCACAGCAAGCCTCTGCTTTCCAACCATCAATGCTGCTCAAAGTCACTGCAACTTGAGACTAGCACAACCTCGCCTAGCTTGCTACATGCTTTCCGCATGGTTATTTTACAGCTTTGATGTTATACATTACATATTTATATTATTTACTTATAAGCAATTGTATACCTTTCCAGGAAATCTGAGCTTGGTCCAAAAGAAAAGCTATGCATTAATATAGCTGGAAATCCTGACACCTATTTCTACTTTGGACACCAAGGTTTGGAAAACCTACTTTGAGAAGCATTATAGACAGAGCCCTTGCTGGCCCTGACACCTGCCTCCACCAAGAGGGTCAGCAATTTCAACTGCTGCTCTAAATACCTGCTTCCCTTAAGCAAGAAGCACAGTCAAAATGTTTGGTCAACTACACTGAAATTCTCTAACTTGAAACTCTTTCCTGGGGGCTGGAATGATGGCTCAGTGCACTGGCTGCTCTTCCAGAGGACCCAAGTTCAATTCCCAGCACCCACATGGCAGTTCACACTATCTGTAACACCAAGATCTGACACCCTCACATATACGTGCAAGCAAAACACCAATGCACACAAATGCAGTAAAAAAAAAAGAAAGAAAGAAAGAAAGAAAGAAAGAAAGAAAGAAAGAAAGAAAGAAACTCTTCCTTTTAAAAATAACTAGAAAAGACTGCATGCTACTACAGGAAAGTATGTTAATACGGCCCATTTGGAGAATTTCTGGCACTTCTAGCTAAGTATCGTATTACTGCAATGGGCTGCCCAGAAATCACAGGGGACTACTCATTCCCCACCAGATTAAAGAACGGATTAGCTCTGGCAAGTTCTCTGGTGGGTTTCAGTCATCACTTACTGGAAGTAGGAAGCCAAGGCTGCTCTGCCATGCACCGTATGAGGAAATCTGTCTCTCATAAAACAGCACACTTGAAAACAACTCAACAACACAGGTCCCAGTCACTGCTCTGCTGCTGTAAAAAGACACTATGACCAAAGCAACTGTTTAAAGAGAAAGAATTGAACTCGGAACTTGCTTAAAGTTCCATAGGGTTAAGTCCATTATTGCCATGGTGGGGAGCGGGGTGGCAGGCAGGCAGGCAGGCATGGTGCCGGAGCAGTAGTTGGGAGCTATATCCTGATCTACAGACAGAGAACAAGACACGGGGCCCGGTGTGGGCTTTGAAACCTCCAAGTCCAACCCATGATGCACCTTCTCCAACAAGGCTTCACTCCTAATCTTCCCAAACAGTTTATCAACTGGGGACTAAGCATGCGAACAGGTACACCTATGGGGAGCATTCTCATTCCAAGCACCACGACCTGTAACTGAAGACCCAAAAGGATGCAAACTAACTAGGGAAGCCTCTCCGAGAACTCTCCCCATACAGAACATACACTAAACACACACACACACACACGCACACACACACACACACACACACACACCATGCTACTGCTGCTCAGAAAACACTGCACTGGACATGCTGGTACACACCTTCCGTCCCAGCACTCAGGAGGCTGAGGCAGTGGAGCTCTGTGAGTTCAAGGCCATCCATCCTGTTATACACAGTGAGTTCCAGGACAGCCAGAGCAAACTATATAGTGAGACCATGTCGGAAGGGGGGGAAAAAAAAAAGAATGAAAGGAAACCTCTTAAAAGAATGCCTTTACTAACAACATAAACTTTTAAAAAGTGGACTAGATCCAGAACTCTTTTCTAGACGAACATTCCCATAAACCTCTGAATTTTCTCAAGCAAGCATCTAGCAATACACAGCCCACCAGACCTTCTTTGTCCCTTTTTCTAGAAAGTACTCATAGCACAATGCAGCTAAGTGCCTGGTGGTCTTGAGACAAGAGCAATGGAGTGCCTCTCTCTCCTAGCTGGCTAAGTGTAGTATTATAGGCAGACACGCGGAAACCACTCTCCCCTACACACCCAGCTAATGTGTCCCCTGGACCCTGACTCAGACACAGAACATTAGTAAAGCCTGCAAAATACTCGGGAAAAGAAAGCTCAAAATCTTCAACTCTCAAATATCAAAAGCCCCAACGCCAGCCTTCCAGAGGCTTCCACTGTACCCCAGGAGAAGACCTGTGTCATTTTCCCAGTCCTTTGGGAGCGAATAAAATGGAAGATTCTGGACTCAAACGTGCTTAAGCACAGTTCCTGTTACCAAGCAGCAGTCTTGGCGAGAGCTAGAGAAGGGAGATGGAGAGACTACACACGGTGCCTACTAAATGCCCCGAGACAGGGTTCTCTAAGGCATCAGTACGGAAGCTGCCGGAGGGATAACCGAGGGAGCTTTGTGAACCTTCACGGCTCCGGCTTCAGTTCCTATTGTGGAGGCACCAGGGAGACTTAGAATATGCAGGGCAGCAAAGGAACCAGCAAAGCCTGGAAGGCAGCAAGCAGAAACTTCACAGGGAAAGGAGCCTGGAGGGCTTTATAAATAAATAGGTAAATGCACTAAACCAGGATGTAAAAGGCACACACACATACACACACATATGTATATTCACCTCTGCTACCAGTGAGGAAGCAAAAGTGATAGAAGCTAGAAGAGGCATTAAGAGTGCGGTACAATTCCGCGCAGTAAATCATACTGTCCATTTCTATTACCATGATGGGGACACCAATGTCTGGCCACAAAAGGTCCTCCGAGGGCAGCTTGGGAGAGTTCCACACCACCACTACCTTGTTCAGGTAGGGGAGGCCGTTGAGTCTCTCCAGCGAGTTCATGAGCACTTCCTCCCGCTCGTAGGTCAGCATCACAACAGTGAACTGCTCCCGCTGGACATTGCCTCCAAGTGCTGCCTGGAACTCCTTGCCAGAGCCCCCAGCCCCACCACCAATGGGCCGAAATCCAGTCCCTGAGCCCAGGAATTTGGCCTCAGAGGGCAGCACAGGGTCAAAGGGTGTGTGGGGGAAAAGGTGGAAAGGCCCGGGAGCAGAGTTCCAGCTACGGTAACAGTCTGTGACGGTCAGAGTAAAGTTGCGGAGGTATTTAGGTGAGGCATAGGGTGGTTCTGTCTCTACCGGCCCCAGGTCCAGGTCCCCATTGTCAGCCATGTTGGGGTCAGTTCCTGCTGCTTTTCCTGAACGATGGGGGATCTCAGCTGCTACCTCTTCCCGGATGGGAGCAGCTGGGATCTGGATGCGAGTCCTAATCATGGCCAGCACGGTATTAAAAATACTGTCAGCAGTGGAGAAGTAGGTCTCCCAGAGAAAGCGGCCTTGCCGCCTCATAGCCAACAGATCACTGTCTGAAAGACTCCGTAACAGGAAGTGAACCTCCGTAACACGCGGCTTGGGCACCACCAGGGCGGCCTCGTTCCACTGCAGCATGTCATGGTATGGGAGCTGTACCTGCTCCCCCAGTACAACAGGCACGGCTCCCGCTTCCAGGGCTTCAAAGAGCCGTGTGGCACACCCAGATGAAATAACCAAGTGCGGGTCCCCGGGGGTGATGATGAGGGCAAAGGTGGAGAGCTTCAGCAACTCTAGGCGGTCTTCCCGCTCCCCACAGAGCGCCCACTCAGTCGGCAGACTGGGCCGCGGCTGGTTTTTGCAGGTAAATTCTACCAGCACCTGATCTAACTTGCTGTCCTGCACGGCCTTCAGGGTGGCAATGATCCGGTCATCATAGTCAGCTGGAGGGTCACCTTCCATTTCCTCCTCAAAGGAACGGGCCTCCTGAAGGCTCGACCTCAGGGACTCAATCTTCTCACCCTGGAAAGTAAAGAGATACTTCCGCTTAACTGGCACCTGCGGGGGGATCTCCATGAAGTTGGGTTCAGACATGGCATGGACAAGTGGTGACACTACCAAATCGAAGCCAGGCCTGTACTGGGCGGCATAGAATGTGGACTGGGCCACCATGGCCCGGCCTGTACTGACGTTGTACAGTAAATTCTGTGTGTCCGACTTCCGGGACAGGTTGATGATGACATGGTTGTGCCCATCTGTCCTCCAGTGTGGCAGAGAATACAACTGCTTCTCAAGGTCAGCGGGCCGCAGCACAGCCGGCTCCTGCATTTCTCCCACTAACACCACATACAGGCAGGCAATCGCTGCGTTTTCTGTAACATAAACATTAGCTCTCGCCGTAGCCTGAAAAGCCTGCTTGACCAAAGGGTCCAGGTAGCTCCCAAAGGCAAACTGGTCGCTGTCGTAGACATAGACGGGAAAGCCAGAGGTCAGAGGGCAGCGAGAGTAATCAAAGCAGTTGTGCAGCCGGCAACCCCGAGTGACCTTGGGGGGCGGCAGGCCAGCATCATCCTTCTCGGGGAGCAGTCGGATGGGCAGGGACAGTTTGGGCTGGTTCTGGGCCATCAGCTCCTTGTAGGAGTGCTCGGTCTGGCTAATGACGTTCTTGAGCTGCAGCAGGTCCTGCTTGGCGTTCTCTATGCTCTTCTTACAGGCTTCAATCTTGAGATTGAGCTTGGCGATTTCGCTGTTGAGCTCCTGCCGCTTGGCTTCGAGCTGCAGAAGCTCTTCGCTCACGGACTCACGAATCCGACAGAGATCTAGAACATGCTTTACCTCGCAGAGCTCGTTGCCAGCCCGAGGGCCGAAGATGCGTTTGCCGGCTTCATCTGCCTCATCCAGAGTGGTGAGGTAATAGTGAGCGATGAGGGGGAAGAAGACCAGGATGATGAAGAGTGTGAAACTCAGCCACGTCAGCCGGATGCGGTTGGACCAGCGCAGCATACAGGTCTGACCGCCGTTCCCCACTCCCCCATTCCGCAACATGGTATAGCCTGTCATGAGTTCTCTGTGGCTCTGGCCCACTCTGATCACGTCGGATCACACGCCATAACCATAAGTGTGTGTGACGAAACTCAACCTCTTCTTCACACACAAGTTTCTGCAAGAGTCTGTGTGTGCCCCGCGCAAGGCACCAAATAAAACGGAAATTTCATTTTCCTCAGCCGTGACTCGGAAGGTCTCTAACCCTAGTCAGGCAGCTCCTAAGTATTGGCTGTTGTCCTCAAATAGAAGAAGGTACCACATTGCTGATGGGACGACAGGGAAGAGATCCATGGCGTTAAAATCCAGGGACAGGGCCCTGGGCTCGGAGGGACCGTTTTAACTGCCATAGCTTTTGTTCCTTGGCCGTGTTGACCAGCCAGAATGCATCGCTTCTGTTCAAGTTAAACAGTGGCTGGTGAAAACAGCTGGCAGCTTGAGATGCCAGCCCCGTCCTCCATGTCACTACCGACAGTCAGGCCTGCAAAAGAAGAAGAATCTTGTCAGTCTTGAAAAGATTATGTTCAAAGCTCCATCACCTGCCCACATGCCAGCCCCGCTCAGTGGTTCCTACCCGAGACCTGGGCACCCGTGAGGTGAGGGAAGCAGCATCCATCTGGCGCTGGTCCTCTCCTAACATGAAAGTCTCCCTGTGAGCTGCTCAGCAAAAACAACTCTCGAGAAGCTCGGTTTGTTAAATTTAGAGTTGAAAAGAGTTAAGAGAGCTCTTTTGAACTTCCCCCAGGAACAGATGAAAGGTATCCTCCAGCTTGCCTCTATTTATCTTCCATTAGCAGACATCAGGCACGCCTTCTTAAAATAGAAGCAGTAACTCGGGCTTTCAGGGAGAGCAGTGGACTTAGAAATGAGGGCATCGTCCTTCGCCCTTTAGGGAAAGACCCGCCGTCGGCCCTCACACTCAGTGACCTAAACTTGGAAATGGAGATCAGTGCATGCAGATGACGAGGAATTACCGCGCTATGAAAATAAGTAGAGGACATGAGTGCTGAGACTCATGCATTCTACACAGCATCCCCAGTGCCCTCCGCAAACTCTCCAAGGCCAACAGAGAGGCTTCCTACCTACATTCCCTTCAAACTGACCTAGCTAGAAGTCAAGCCGTGCTGCTCTACGCCAAAACACACTCCATTTCATTCGTTCACTTCTTCACACACACAAAAACACACTCACAGCCAGGGAGGCTGGCACAGCCATTCTAGGTAGCGCTCCGGAGGCTGAGGCAGGAGAGTCTTGAGTTCAAGGCCAGCCTGTGCTATGTAGTAAGACCCTGCCTCAAAAAAAGAAAGCAAAAGTGTGTGTGGCTACTCTTGACATACCTAACATAGGTCAAGAACTGCCTAGCACGTGTAATGACCCTTGCCCTCAGCAAACTTTAGAGTCCAAGAGACAAGATGGGAACAGCTGCAGAGCACTTGTCTGTCTTGTCAGATCTGTGGATTCAATCTCCAGCAGGGAGAGGGAGATGGGAAGACACACCAACTGCAAGAGTGCGTCTATGCGTCTCACGGGGGCTCACACTCCCAGCTTCCACCTCTGCCCCAGCTGTGCAGCTCTTAAAGTCTCATAAGTTTTTGTCTACAAACAGGTCAAAACAAAAAGCTGATGACAATTCTACTAAGGTTTACGGAGAACAAGTGATCAGGATGACAAAAAGTAAAACAAAAATCCACCCTTAAAACACTAAATTTGGCCGGGCGGTGGTGGCGCACGCCTTTAATCCCAGCACTCGGGAGGCAGAGGCAGGCGGATCTCTGTGAGTTCGAGACCAGCCTGGTCTACAAGAGCTAGTGCCAGGACAGGCTCCAAAGCTACAGAGAAACCCTGACTCAAAAAACCAAAAAAAAAAAAAAAAAAAAAAAAAAAAAAAAAAAAAACACTAAATTTGGATAATTTAAACTTGATAAACAGGGACCGAAACAATCACTCAGCAGTTAAGATTGCTTACGGCTCTTGCTAGGATCCAAGCCTGGTTTCCAGCACTCGCATGGGGTGGCTCACAACCACCTGCAACTCCAGCTCCAGGGGCTGCAAAGCCTGTGGCCCCCACAAACACCCATACTTATGTGCACAAATCCACACACAAACACATGATTTAAAACAAACACAAATCTTTAGGGGCGAGTGTGGTAGCATACACCTTTAATACCAGAATTCATGAGGCAGAGGCAGGTAGATCTAGCTGAGCTTGAAACTACCCTGATCTACACAGTGAATTTTAGGCCAGACAGGGCTATATTGTGAGACCCTGCCTCAAAAAATAAATATGAAAACAAATCTTCACACCCAAATAGATAACATCCAGTCAAACATCCCACAGCAAGACCTTCATTTCTTTGTTTATTTTGTTTTGTTTTGAAAACAGGGTCTCTATGTAGCCCTGACTATTCTTAAACTCACTCTGTAAACCAGGCTAGCCTCAAACTCACAGAGATCCACCTGCCTCTGCCTCCTGAGTGCTGGAATTAAAGGTGTGCACCACTATGCCCAACTCACGAACCACATTTCTAAAGAACCCACATTATCCTTTTATTCAACTGTAACAATGAGTAAATAAAGAGAAGACAAGACAGAATCCAGGTCGTGCGGCCAGTGCGACCTTCTCACCTTACTGGGCAGCATTCTTCCTCTCTCTGCCTTATGTAGTAGCATTGTGCTTCAACATACGAGTTCTTGTAGTCATTGACACCAGAGCTTGCTCTCCTGGCTTAAAGAGAAAATAGAGACTATTTGAAAAGTGCTCACTACGAAAGGTGCTGTTGATTAGTCTTCCTGAAAAGGCTTCCCTTGCGGACTCAGCAGTCACAGAGCACACGGCTAAGCAGAGCTCTTTGGAGTGAGCAGGTACTACCGACAAACACTAAGACAATGGGGAATTTTCTCACGGGCAGTTGTGACTTGCTGACATGCTGGAGAGTATAAGGCAAAATGTTATAAAATGTGGGCAGCATACAAGAGCTTTCCAGAGGATGCACAGAGCTCTGGATAGGAGAGATGTTTACACTAGAATGGAGCTCAGGACAAACAGGAGGCAGGGGAGGAGCATCTGGAGGCATAAATGGACCAGCATCAGTCGTGAGCCAGGTGTGCAGGCAGACCTCTCATCCCGCACAGAGGAAACAAAGGCAAGAGAACCCTGGGTTCCACGCATCTGGGCAGCAGTACTCCTAGCATGCCCAACACACAAGCAGAGATGACAATGGAGATAAATGTTCAAATGGAAGCCAACGCTGATTCTAAAGAATTTCACCCACTAAGTTCTACCTCATCCACCAGCATGAGCCAAAAGAGCAATCAGTGGCCAATTGTGTGGACTCTGTCTCCTAACCATCAACTTAAGAGTTCTCAAGCATAAAATGAAGAGAAACCATGAACTCTCTTCTCCTCATCTAGAAATAAAGGCCAACACACTAAGGCGATTGATTCCCGGTGGTTCTCAGTGCAAGTGCACTGTGCATCTTCCTAATCCTCACCCACCACGGGCCCATCCCTGCCTGCACTGCCCCCATATACTGCAAACTACTCGGTTCTCCTTCCTTTAGGAACACTGCGGGGCTTCTCACTGCACCGATTTCGTGGTCACCGTCCCCCAGCTCATTCAAACTGAGCTACGCTGCCCCCCTTTAGTTCACCCACACCAAGTTCTGTACCACCTGAAGTCCTCGTCCCTGCTACTCTCTGGAAATTTCTGCTTTTCCCATTGACCCTCATGCTTCAGGCCCATTTCCTTGATGCTCTCACTTTAAAGTTGCCTTTCTTATGAGCCCGACACTTTCTGAAATTAACCTATTTTTTTTCTTCTTTCTCCTTTCTCTCCCCTTTCTTTTCCCTTCCTTCTGCTCCCTCCCCACGCTTTCGTTCCTTCTTCCCACCTCCCACACTAAACCCTACTAAACCCTACTCCCTAAGAGCGGGACCCTCATCTGCTCAGCCTTGCTGTGTTGCCACTGTGTCCACTGAGAGTTAATGAATGAACTGTGTCACTGATCACTTCCTTGTCTCTTCCCTTAATTCTATGGAAGGACATTTTTAGTATCCCACCCACATCTTTGACTCACGTTCTTTTTCTGTCTTGGGGACATCCAGTCTTCCTCCCACCTCATACTGAGAAGTATTCTGGAAGGCTCTCGGCATCATCTGCTAATGAGTCCATCTGCTTTCATGATGTCAGGCCTCACCTATGCTCATATCTCCTACAAGCTACACCCTCAATACCTGCCTCGCTGTTCTGCACCCTGCCTCTCCTGGGGTCATAGTCACTTCAAGGACTTCATTTTTCCAAACAGCTTTTAGTTCTGCCCATAATTCTACATTCCCCCCCCCCAGTCAGAAACAACGTGCTATATTCAGGAAAGACACAGACTGTCAAAGCAGCCAGCCCTGGATGGAACCCCATAGTGAAATGCCCATTTTACCATGAGAGACAGTTTTTCCATCAGAAAAGCAACAGTACCTTTGCTCAGAAGTACTACCAAACTCAGAGACAGCATGCAGGCACCACCCTTCTGGGTTTGTCACATAAAAGGCTACAAGCATCAGCTATTTTCAAGCTCCAGCTCCTATGTCTAGTCTCCTGCCAAGCCTGTCATTTTTATTGCAATCATAATCATGATAATGTTTGCAATAATGCTTTATAATAATCTTTATACTTTACACTTTCCCCTTTTTAGTTATTATTCTTCCTTCACCCTGGTTCTAGCCCATAACAACCATAGTCTGCCAACTTATCCTGTGTATTACCAAATTTGGGTTTTTTAATAATCTCACTTAGGATGCTCTAGCTCGAATGCCCCTGGCCCAGAAAGGCAACACAGCCAAGGGGCATTTGCCAAAGCCAGCACTATGTCTTTTGAATGTTCAATCTCAAAAACTATGAGTAAGAAGCCAGGTAGTGGTAGCGCACACCTTTAATCTCAGCACTTGGGAGGCAGAAGCAAGTGGATCTCTGTGGGTTTGATGCCATCTTGGTCTACAAAGTCAAGTTCGAGAACAGCCAGGACACAGAGAAACCCTGTCTCAAAAAAACAAAACAAAAAACCAAAACAAACAAAAAACTATGAATGAGAACAAGCCATTCAAAACTCCAAGAGGACAGACAAGGACCTGAAGTCCCACCCCTAGCTGAGGTGCTACTGAAAACCCTGCTGGATAGAAATCAGGAAAACGGCCCTGTTAAGTGGCCCTACAGCCATGCACAAGAGAAGCACCAATGGACGCTGGGTTATGAAAAGAGGACAAGAAGCTGGAAAGAGATGTGCGGGGCTGGTAAGATCAAATACATTGTATATATGTATGAAATTCCCAATGAACAAAAAACTGCGAGTTAAATAAACCTCTATCTTCTACATTACTCAACCTCTAGTATTTTGTGACAAGAAAAAACAGACTAATACGGTATTACTAGTAATCTAGAGATGGTTTAAAGCACATAGCACAGGGCTTCTCAACTCTAGATTGTGACCCTTTGAGGGTCAAATGACCCCTTCACAGGGGTCGCCCAAGACCATCAGAAACCACAAATATTTATTTTATGGTTCATAACAGTAGCAAAATTAGTTATGAAATAGTAAACGAAAATAACTCTACGGTTGGGGTCTCCACAACACGAGGAACTGTACTGAAGGGCTGCAGCATCAGGGAGGTAGAGAAGCACTGATGTGGCAGGACAAGCAAACACTGTCCCACTTTATAGAAGGATCCTGAATGTCTGCAGATGTTTTATCATCAGAACTGGTACGGTCCCCTCTCACACTAAGGAAAAGCGCACTGTCTGTGCTCTTCAGTGGTCACCCTCAACATGTAAAGCACAGTCTTGCCCTAACCAGGCTGAAGGTTTAGCATGCTTCTGACAGCGGCCTTCCTCAGGGCATGCCTGTGCACCCAGAGCAGGCACATGGTGCTCCACTCACGGTTGTCAACAGAGCTCACGGTGTTCGCGCCCATCCTTTCTTTGCGCATGTTATTCTTTCCTCTTCCGTGCTTCATTCCTCCCTCAGGCTGTTGCTTTCTTCCTCATATACAATTTTTCTTTTCCACCATACTCTGGAGAACCCTCTGGAATTATCGTTGTCGCTGCAAAGTGAGATGTCAATCCATCTGTACGTGTGCCTCGTGGGCAGTCTGACCCCACTGGATGGGTTTGGCTCCTGTATGTGTTTTTCTGTATGGGGTGTGGGGTAGCACAAGGCACATTCAGAGGCTAGAAATTGACCTTGGGTGTCTTTTTCAAGCTGATCTTAACTTTTTGTTTTGTTTTGTTTTGTTTATTCTTTAGTTTTTCAAGACAGGCTTTCTCTGCCTAACAGTCCTGACTGTCATAGAATTTGCTCTTGTAGACCAGGTTGGCCTCAAACTCACAGAGATCTGCCTACCTCTGCCTCCCAAGTGCTGAGATATAAGGCTTGTGCCACTACCACCCAGCTCCGATTTCACGTTTTAAGAGAAGGTTTCTTACCAAACCTGGAGTTTAGGTCTATTAAGCTAGACTGGCCAACCAGCAAGTTCCCAAGGATGTGTGAGCCTCCCTCCCAGCACAGATGCATGCCAGCATGCCACCGCACCTGGCTGTTACAGGAGTGCTGGGATCCAACCTAGGCTCTCCTGCTTGTGTGTCAAGCACTTCACCAGCTGAGCCATCTCCCCGGCCCCATGCTCTGCTGTTGCTGAAGACTCTGAACTTTCTGAATCTTGGAGCTCCTGCCGCTCACTAACCTGGAAACTTATAATCCACGGTCTCTGAATACACTCTGCCCCCTCCCACACCTCTCTCTCTCCCTTGAGCTTCCATCCGCTACCTGCCAGAGCCTATGCCGGCCTCCTCCCTTCTCATCTCTTTCATACTTTCATAATTTCACTCTGCCCTTTGTGCTGCCTTCTGGCAGTTTCTTCATATCTGTCTACTTTAGGAATTGGGAAACTTTCAGCAAAGTGCCAGACAACTAATATTTTAGTATGCGTGGGGGTCACTTAGAGCCTCTGCAGCATATCTCAAGACTTTTTAAAAAGGGTGGAAGGATCTGGGAGAATGGCTCAGTGGTTAAGAACACTTGTTGCTCTTGCAGGAGACCCAGGTTCAGTTCCTAGTACCACATGGTGGCTAACAACCATCTGTAATGAGACCTGGTGCCTTCTTCTGGCCTTCAGGCATACATGCAGACAAAACACTGTATACATAATAAATAAATCTTAACAAAAAAAATTAAGACAACCCCTTTTAAAATGTTCATTCTTACATTGCAAACTATAAATAGCAAAACACTTGATGAGCACAGTGACACACGCCTTTAATCCCAGCACTCAGGAGACAGAGGCAGGTGAATTCAAATGAGAGCCTATCTCAAAAAAAAAAAAAAAAAAAAAAAAAGGACAAATGCAAGCCAGGAGCCAGATGCAGCCCACGGGCCATGGCCTTCAGCTCTGTCTGCCTCACTAGTCAGTTATCTCCTCTGCCAGCATCACCACTCATCTACCTGTAGGCTTTAACTGACAACTAAGTCAAGCCTCCATTCCCTCGCTGTGTGACAGTACCCACTCCTTATCTTCCCTGGCTCACCTATTCTAGCTGCTGATTCTTATTGGGCGGCAGATCACTTCCTTTGTAACCCTCTATTCAGTCCCTCTTTAGGGCGTTTATTCTGAGAAACCTCTGTGCACCCGTCTAGAACAGTCTGTTGGACATCCAGCCAGCCTTATTATCAGCCTTTGGTC